AGCCAAGGCAGTCCCACATAGCAGCCCAGCACCCAGAACAGTCACCAACTTCAACCTCTCCTGCAAGCAAGTACAAAACAAGTATCATCTTTAGGAATAAAAATGCTTTCTTTAATCTCCCTTATTAACAGAGGTTGGGACAGGGGGTTACTTGTTACATTAGTATTGACAATTTGCAATTAAACTTTAACAACAACACCTAAAAATGGTTTTACAGTATAGCAAAGAATAATAGTTTAACTCATATTTTGGGAAGAACTTCTACAAGATTAAAAAACAGACATAGTTTATCAGTACTTGTACTGTTACTTAGGGTTATCTTCCTAGTTATATTCTAATTTGGGGCAAAAAGCTTAGAGACTTATCACTCCTCCCAAACTCACTATATTATGTTTTATCAATAAAACTATCAATTCATTTCCTTGTGACAGGCTTAAGTCAAAGCCATGTACTAAAATCCAATTACATGAACATCTAATAGACTCTAAAATACAACAGTTTGCAGAGGCCACTTCTCAAAATTTCTGTAAGAGCTCCCCTCATATCACATGGAGCAATCAGGGGAGTCTAGGTCCTCATAACAACCACGTAGCACATATTTTGTGGCAGAGCCATCATCATCATCTCCCATGCTCAATGCTACCAAAATACAAACTTTAACTACTGAGGACCTGGACGCAGAAGTCAGCGTCTGATTAACGGGAAACCACTTGCCACATACCCTTCTTGTGCCGTCCATCCTCCTCCGTGCACCATAATGACACAAATTGTTCAGTCTCACCAAAACAGGCAACACTTACACAGAAGAAGTAGGAGGCTCTAGAGAGATGCATAGCTAACCTTCTGAAAGTAAGCCAAATGTGGCCATAAGGAAACAATTGCAGCATTACTGGGGAAAATTCAAATAGTAATATGGAAGAGATGAAAACACCTGTAAAATTTCTGCAAACATGCACCTTATAGTGCCATATATAATAACTATACTTGGTAAATTGTTATACAGTGGCAATCTACGTTAAAAGATAACCTTCAACATCCACTTTTCATAATCATTTTGCAAAAACACAGTATCTTACAAGGGAAAAAAAAATTATTTTTACCTGCAACACTATAGCATCTTTTGCATACGTACATAAAAAAAGGGAAAAAATGTCAAAAGTAATACTGATTTCTTACAACTGCAAATACAGAGTACTGCTTGCTTTCCCTTGGGCATCTGTGAATTTTGAATATCCATGGAAATAATACACACTAACAAGTTAGTGTTTCAAGATAAGACTCCATCTCCTTTTCAGTACAAAATATTTAGATGTGGCAAATACAGAAATTTAATAACAGTCTACACAGACAAGCAAAAGCAATATAGTTTTATCCAAGAAATCAAACAATTTCAGTGAAACACACTTGCGTGTCTCTTGTTAAAAAACAAGAGCAACAGAGTAAACAGTGCTAAAAATCCATGGGAAAAATCTTAAATTCCTCAAATTAGCAAGCTGTTTCACTGCTCAGTATTTATTTTAAATGTACATGGCACTTAAACTTTTACTGGAACATATCAAAAAAACTCATACCTACTTTCACAGACAACACTACTGGCCTCTGTTATATCACCAAAACATTCAAATTGCTACAACTCTTTTTTTTAAACTTTTGCGTTTAGACTAAAACTTAAGAAATAGCCTCAAGAACTGGTACAGTGTTGTTTCTAGCCCTAAATTAGACCAACAGAGTCCTGTAAATTAGGATTAAGCTGAAAGGGTACATCTGCACACAGAAGTAAGGCAAAGCTCGGTACAATCCGCACCTTTTTACCACCAATGTTTAGTTATACCTGGCTTTGCCAGTTTTATACTTTCAAGGATATCCTAATCTAATTACAATAATAGAAACCAGCATGAAATCAGAACACAAGTAATAGGTTCCATGGCAAAAAACTCATCTGAAGGAATGTAATAACACTAATGAATAATTTCACTGTTCTCCAGCATCTGGAGTATATTATGTATAGCATTCACTTTTGTTTTCAACTCAAATATTATAAATGGCCAGTGGGAAGAGGCATTTTAACTTGGGCTACCTGCAAAACTTTTGCAAACTATAGAATGCATAGTCCAACCAGTCATTTCAGTTTGAAATTGTCTTTGTTGCAGAATCCTAAGCAATCACTTTTAACAAAACCATTCTAACTTCTAATTATAAACTTCCAGGATTAGCTAGGATTTGTATATAATTTGCAGAGACATTCTTCTCCTCTTTTAAACCAGCATTGCATGCAAACTCTTAAGACACCCAATTTAAATCAAGAGTAAAACTGAGTCAAGAATTTCTGAGAACCTAAGATACTACAATAAACTCGATTGCACACATGTGCATTGATGGTAAAATACCACACACACAAAAGGCTAATAAGTACGTGATTACTGCTTATGGAGAATTTTGGATCCACAACAGATCTGTATTCCTGCACTGCTGAAAGCCTTGAGAGATTTAGGAGACCAGTGATTCAACGATATAAATAAACCACATAAAGATAGATCAAGAACCCTATCTTCAAACAACACTAAATATATAGTCAGAGAAAACAGGTGACTATTGAACATATACATGACAAAATGCAAAATTAAATAAAAAAAGAAACATTATTAGCATGCAAGGCAGTGCTCTCAGCACATTCACAAGAAAACCCTTCACAGGCTTCAGGGCAGAAGTGACTTTTGAAGAGTGAGATGCTGGAAGCAACAACACTGAAGACACATAAGGGGAGGTCCATCAAAGCATCAGAGGAAGCACTGGCAAAACAGAACTCTGCAAATATTTATGTGAAGACTTCAGAATACATTGTTAGGTTTCAATTCATTTAGCTGACTCCTACGGTTCCTGAAATGAACAGCCTTTCCTTCCATGCTGCTCAAGGTCTACTGCTCCCAAAGCCTCCTAGAAATAATGGGACCAAAGGACAGGTAAAACCCACCCTCTGACTCGATGGAAGAAAAAGTAACATCTCTTCCAGCACCTTGCTTCCCAAAAGCAGCACTGCTTCCAGGAGAAACAGGAAACCTCCCATAAGAGCACTCTTACTACCTTAGAACAACTAAATTATCACACCATACCTCTATACAACAACCATCACTTAGAAAGAGGAAAAACCCCTCAGGCACCAGAGGATATTAGGAGACTTCCAAAGACTGTAACAATCGTCATCACCTCAATGACCAGATACACTTAATGATGAAATCCCATACTGTTCTGAAAACTCACTCAATCTATGAAAGTCTCACTCTCCCTCAACAGTACCTTATTTATCCAAGATATTTTTTTTCCAAAAGAATGCTTTGAGTTACCCGGGGCAGTAACTTGAACTTGTATTGTGATCAAAAAGCTAAGATTTAATTTTCAGCACTGCAAGCTGTGAACAAAATTGTCAGTCAAAGTTTTCTGATAACATTCTTGGAATCGTTTTTGAAAGCCTTAATTTGAGTAGCCCATAGGCACATAAGAAGAGATAATCTCTGACTTCAGCAGTTTCTTACACAAGCTTCTAATTCTAATTCTAAGAATAGCCAAGTCCAGCTCCTATTCATGTCCTTCTGTGCTGAGACTGTGATGCACCTGTAGCAGAGATGCTCGACTCGAATTTGGCATGTTTAAATGGCTTTTATACACACTCTGAAACCAGCATAATTTTACACAGCAACTTTGAATGAAAATTAAAATCGCACTCACAACTTCCTTAAAAACCTTTTAAGGTTACAGCACTGCCCCTAACAGCGTTGCCGGACTTCCAAAAGGACAGCGCTAACTCCTACTGGGAGATCTCCCTATCCGGTTTCTCCCTTAGCAACCAACGAGCAGTTCGGCGGAGCTGTCTTACCTCGGAGAAATTAACTGCCAAGGGGATAATTCCTGCCACATAGCAGGCAACCAGCATGGCCAGGGACAGCAGGCAGATGGAGGGGAAGTCATCCATTTCGCCGCTTTCTGTGCGGTCCCTTGAAGTGAAATTCAACAGCAACTTTTCCACCTCGCCCGGCCGCACGCCTTAGCCCGTGCAGACACCGAGCTCCCAGGAGAGGCTCTCAGCCATGTCTCTGTCGCCCGGCGGCTCCGGCCGGCTGTGCCCCCAGCCGGGGGTGCGCGGGGAGACCCGCCAAGGCCGGGGGGCGGGGGGGGGGCTCTGCCCCCGGCGGGCAGGCCCGGCCCTCACCTGAGCCAGCGGAACCTTCCCCCGCACCGCGCCGCTCCCAGGGGAGGCGGGAGGGGACAGCGAGCACCCAAGCGGCTTCTCGCAGCGGGGACGAGGGGAGGACGCTGCGGGACCGACGCTCCTGCCCCGCACCCGCTGCCCGAGTGGCACGTCCGAACTTCCCCTTCCGGGCCGGGCCGCGCCTCGCCCAGCCCCGCGCGCTTCCCGGCCCCAAGATGGCGGGCGAGGCCGCGGGCTGGCGGGGAGAACCCTGACCCTCACCAAAGATGGCCGCGCGCCCCGCCCCGCCCCCGCCGCTCCGGGGAGGCCTCCCCCGCCGGCCCTGTGGGCGCGTGCGCGCGCGCTCGAGCGGCGCTCTGGCGCGGGCGGCTCTATGGTGGCGGCCGTTGGCGCGACGGCGCTTCCGGCGGGCGCGGGGGCCTGTGGGGGATCGCCGCGCGCCACTTCTGCCTGGCAGTGCTGAGGGAGCGGAGCCGCCATGGTGAGAGCGGGATGGGACCCGCCGGGCGGGACGGGGCCCACCGCGCCCGCATGAGCTGTACTCCCTTCCCCTTCCCTCCCTTCCCTTCCCTTCCCATGGGTGGCCGCGGCCGGGAAGGCTGCGGCCGGCGGTGCGGGCCCGGGCGGGCGGCAGCACGTTTTGGCGGGGCAGGGCCGGGCGAGGCGGGGGCACAAAGGCGGCAGAGGCACTCGTGGAGGGGCGGACTGGGGGCTCCCGCCTCCCCCCGGCAGCTCAGGCCCCTTTCTCAGGGCGCCGCTGGAAGCGCGTCTCTTTCCCTCGAGTCTCGCTCGTCGAGCGAGTCTGCCTTAAATGGCTGATTGGCGCTTTCCATGCTGCTGTCCCTGCTCCTTCCCTCCGGTCGGAGAAGGGAAAGGCGGGAGCGTGCGTTGGTGGGCTGTCGGAACGGTACGCTGAAGTTCGAAGGCCTCCCTCATCGTGGTTTGTTGCCTTCACCTAATGAATTAGGATACGCTGCAGCAAGTTGTTGCCTCACGGCGGGAAGAAGTTGCTTCTAGGTCTGCAGCGAAGCTCCATATCTGCCTGGCACTTGATCGAAGCAGTTGGCTTGGGCCAGGATGAGCAGCTACAAGCTCTGTCTGTGTTGTCCAGAGTGAAGGGTGACCCTTAGACCACTTTTTCTGCCTAGCAGAAGGAACTAAAAGGCATTTAGGTGTCTGCAGTGTGCTACTGCTAGTTGTATCACTGCACATCTTACCCTTGCAATCCGTGTTTATCTTCCTTTTTTATTGTTTTGGAGCCTTTTTTTTTTTTTTTGCTTTATTGTCTAATGGACTACAATTGGTGGAAGCCTCTTTGCACACATGCTGCCTAGCTTTTAAGTCCTTCTGGTTTGGCTGTCGGCCCTGTCTTAACCAATTTTACAGGGTTCTGCCTTGAGTAACAAGAGCAATTTGTAAAGTTCTCTCTAGAAGTTCAGAATTGGTATAATATAAACATATGGTGTCTCATTACGTGTCCTTCTTAACAGCCAGTCCACCTATGCTTTTAAAGAAAACGCAGGGAAGGGTCCATATTGGGCTTTTTCAGATAACCTGGTGCTAATGCAAAAAGGTTTATGGATCTTCCCTTGTTTTGGTTTTGTGTCACCTAGGCAAGTGGGGCAGGTAATAATAGTCAGAGGAAACTTCCAGCAGGCTTCTGAACTTGTCATTTTTTGTGCCTACGTGGTAGGGCCGGACCAGCAATTTTATCAAATCAAACAATTTCTTTTTTTTTCCCCTTAAGGTAACATGAAGATCCCCCAAAAAATGTTTGAAAAGCATTAATTCTACAATACAGATGGTCCCAATGGCATTAATTTTAATATTTTCCAGGCCACTATCTGATATGGATATTGTATAGTGTCTGAAGTGTTGAACAGCTTAAAGTCAGAAACCCAAATAATTTCTACTGTGAAGTTCTGAAAGAACTGGCTTAAATGTCTGGCTCACTGATTTTTTAATTTTTTTCAATCTAAAGATTTGGATAATTTCAGAATATATGATTAATTTAATGCTCCTCAGTGACCAGCTAATTAAAATGATAGTGCTGCAAAAATCGCTTGGACTCCCTGGCAAGACAAGCCTGTTCAAGTGCAGTGCACTAGGAACAGCCAAATACCAGCCCCCTTGGGGAATTCCTGTCAAATCCAGCGTCCTCTGGCATACATGAGAGTGGACTTAAATGATCTAGTCTCCTTTGTATGATTCTTGTTGTTACAGTGTGTAGCTCTCAATTCCCCTCTTTTGCCGCTTCTGACTGGGAGAAGTCTTGCTGCTTCTTTTACTCCGTGTAACTTTTTCCTGGACTTCTTGGACTCTGCAACTGCTGTGTTATTTGAGACAGAATTTAAAGAACTGAAAACTGTTTATTCCAAAGATGAGAACACTGTCAGTCATGGGACAAGAATTTGTCCCGTTTTCTTCTTATATATTTCTTGTAAATCCTAATATTTGCCATTTCTATTTTCTGTCATGGCATGCGATAAACACTGAACTGGTGTCTTCACTGATGCCCAAAGTATGGTTCAGGATTTTTCTGTCAGCAGCTGATTAATTTAAGCCAAATAATATGTCTCACTCTGCAGTTGCCTCTTAGTTGTGTGCTCACCTCTTATATTAGCACTGAAAATGTTGGATCCAATTAGCAGCACTGGAAATGGCCATTTTTGCAGCATGCTTGCAAACTTTCTATGCTATGCACCTTTTTAATTAGATCACAGATTGTGTACACTTGAAAAATTCTTGCTCACTCTTTGCTCAAATTACTTGCAGTAGCAAAGTGAAAAATGTTATGGAAATAATGGAATGTACAATCATCTAAGTCTTCCCTGCAGAAGAACAAGCTTAAGGACTCCAACATTTACAACAGTTTTCTGTGCCATAATTACTGTTTCAGTAAACTCATTGAAGTGTGAAAACCCAGTACATCTGTTTTGCAGGAAATGGATACTAAGTGCAGATTTGTTATATAATTTGTGTTCCCTTGAAATTAAATGAATAACTCAAAATAGCTATTGCTGTTAAAGGTGAGATTGACAATGTGATTAAGTTGAATCCCCTCCTTGCACTTTGATTGGGGCATTTGAAATCTTACTAACAGCTTGCATTTGGAATAAAATAAGTAAATGCACTAATGCCGTAGCTTTTAAACGTTGACTTTATTGCTTTGCTTTTGTGTCTAGATAGGAACTACTATTTCTGTGGTATCTTTTTTCAACACAGTAGCTGCTTTACTGGTGATTTTACACATTTTAAAATTCTGTAAGGATTGATAGGACTGATTGGAAACAAAAGTTAACACAGCTTATATGAATAGTAAATGCTATTTGGAAAATGTGTCCTTGATTGCTACTTCACTATTTTAATATTATGCTGCTTTTTGGTGCTTCCTTCAGATAAATTACTTGAATCAAACACAAATCATTCAAATTGTGCAAGTAACCTGTTTTCTTGATGTTTGTTTTGTTTTCCAGTCTCACACAATTCTACTTGTCCAGCCTACCAAGAGGCCAGAAGGCAGAACATACGCTGATTATGAATCGGTGAATGAGTGCATGGAAGGTGGGTGAAGACATGGGGTTTTAAACACCAGTTTTTAACTACCATTTTTGACATACTGTCAAACTTACTCAGTAAGAAAATAAATTGCTCATGTTTTTCAAAGGTAATTCACAAAAAAAAATTTGAAAAAGTGTCTCATGCTTTTAGTTTGCTAATGTTCTAGCAAATGAACAACTAGTTGTTATTTGTTCCTAAAACTTTCTTTTAATCTTAAATATTTGTTTTTAATTTAACTAGATGAAGTCACATTCAGTTTGGGAGAGTATGCAATATTCTTGGCGGAGCCATGCAGCAGACTTGCTTCAGTTCATTTTATTGCAGGATCAGCACCTAATTCTCACTAATCTTTGTGGTAGCACTGTAAAGGAAAGATTACTACTGGATATAATATATTAAATAAAAGATTGTGTGCAGTTGATACATAACTTACAGCCTCTTGGTGTATGTGCCAGAGTAAAGATCCTGTGAGACTTTGAGTCACCTAATGAGCTTGGAAAGAAGATTGACATACTAGAGCTGTAGTTCACTTAACATTAATGTTCCAGGAAGTTTTGCGAGGCAAACAAAAGCATAATTAAAGACTGTGTAAAGCCTCTATGCTCACTTTAATATTACATTCTTCTCAAATGTATCTGAACTATTTGTGGGCTAGCTTAAATAAATAAAACTGATTTAAATTAATTAAACTATTTAGGTTTGTGCTGTCAGTCTTACCTCAGTAGCCCTGTCTGACTCTGTGATGAATAATGATCATTCTTATGAGTTCTATTTCTCAGGTGTTTTGTACAGTAGAAATATATGTTGTAATTGCCATCTTAAAATTATTAGGAGTGCTAGGTGTCCACTGGAGCTTACTGCATGGAAAGGTATATATTTGATAGAGCTGAAACTTTCTCCTCTACATGACGAAAATTCTTCTTTCCATGCATCTTACCTGATTTTATAGTATTATGTTTCTATGCAAATAGCTAGAACAAAAGAATTTCAACTCTGCAAAATCTTGACTGTCTCTCTGTTTTTATGGTATTCATCTCTAAACTTTCCTTATATTTGTGGATCAATAGCTGAAGAAGTTTCAGCAAATACAGTTTTTAACATTGCATTGTTAAACTTGTCTCTCTGTAGGAGTCTGTAAAATGTATGAAGAGCATCTGAAGAGAATGAATCCCAACAGTCCATCCATTACATACGATATCAGCCAATTGTTTGACTTCATTGATGACTTGGCAGACCTCAGCTGTCTTGTGTAAGTTCAGTTGTATAAATCCATTTCACTGACTCAGGGAAGTCACAAGTCTTCCCTCTAAACTCTTACATGTTTTATTTGAGTGTTTTTTGCAATAACTGTAGTGCAACAGTATTGTAGCTGCCATAACATGTTGTCCGCTCCAATTATCTGCATTGAAATCTCTAAGGAAGGCTTAGAAAATGACAATTCCAGTTGGATTTTAGTCACATTGAAGCTTACAGCATTTCAGATACTGAAATCCAACAGTTTAATACAGCTGCTTATTTTATTACTGCTAGAATCTGTTTAAATTGGGGCTGTATGTGCCTTTGTGCTGTTGGTCCGATTCCTAAGGAGGCAGAATAGTTACAGAACTTTTTCCAGCTGAGAGCAGTACTAGTGGTACGGTAGAAGTCTACAGAAGTGCAATACAGCCAACTGTTTATTTTGAGCACGATACAGCAAGATGGAAGTTTCTGTAAATGCTAATGAAGTGACCGAGGAACAGATGAATCCTCTAGAGAGCCCAGCTAATTGTTTACATGCTCTCGTGAAAACATTATCTCCAGTTCTCATTTGTGTGTCGGAGTTGTGGGCAAGCAAAGATGGTCTTGAGTACTTTCCATTCTGACTGCACTGTGAAATCAAATGTTAAATTTCACTGTCCAGAACAAAACTTAGTGTTAGGTTGAGTACTTTCCATACCATAAATTTCAAGGTAATGGTATGGTATGACAGTGGTATCAACTTTGTAGAAATTCCGTAGGAATAAGGAAACAAATCTCATATGCAAGTAACAAAAGACACAGTATTAGGCTTTTGAATCTCAAAATTCCAGAACATTTTTAAGCCCGTGAGTTTCTAGTATAGACATTCCTGCAGCTGTACTGCTGTGGCTGAAATCCTGGTGCAAGTACTTGTCTAGCTGCACAGTGAACACTTTGCCAGTTAATTCCAGTTTAAAATAATAATTTATTTAAAAAAACTGAGCATTGGATTGTTTTCCTTTGTATTCTCATGTACAGTACAAAATTTCTTACTGATAATGACTTATTACAAATGCCATTTGCTAAAGATTTGAGTAGAATAAAATGGGCTTACAGGTTCTGCAGTTAGTTTGACCCTAGACATTCTGCCACCTTTGATTTTCAAGTGTCATATTGCTGGGCTGATGCAGGTTTTGAAAACCACAGTTTATCTAACAGACTAAAGCTCGCCAGTTGCTTTAGGAGGTAGCAACTGTTTTCTAGTACAGTCTTGTGCCTTTGTTAATTAGGCTCCTAAACTCAGTGTCGTGCCAAATTCTACTTCAGCTTTTAGTTTTCCACCAGATGGCATACTTAGCACGAGGTGTATCAGACATGTCCTGTGTTCATGGAGATTCCTGAAGGACTTGCTGTCTGATCTTGTGGTGTAGCATTGTGAGTGGATTTGGGGGTGGGGGATAGTTTTCCTGAAACTAACATTTCTTGTACTGCACGAGAACTACTGCTCTATCAACATAAACTCTTTGGCCTTGAACCTCATGCTGAGGTTTAAATAACAGTGTGCTTACGGTGTTTTCCTTAGGTAAGAACTGTAAATTGTTTTGGATTGAGTTAACTTCAGATTTTTATTCAGGTTCTTACCAATGACCATCTCACCTTTCTTACCTGGTCAGAAATATGTGTACCAAGATTTAAAGACTGATCAGGATTTTAGTAGTTTCTTGAAGCATTCACTGAAAGTACCATCTTCATGAACAAAATATTAAACTTTAATGAATGAGGGAGAAAGAAAGGCATGAATCTACACAGATGCAATTTCAGGCAATTTGCTTTCATTTTTCAGTCTCATTCTGCTTCGATTCGGCAGTGTCCTGGGTAACTGAATTCTCTGGCCCCTGCTAGTCTTGCTAGGAAACTCCTTTTATCAACTATCCCTGAGCAGCAAAGAAGACACGTGGGTTTTTGTTTTCAGTTTGCTTTTTATGAAGTGTCCTTGTTAGATGCAAGCCTGTCCTCACTGCCAACTGGCAGGAATCCTTTGTCATCCATCTCTGAGTCTACCTTTGCTCCTGGAAAATTTTGAGTTTATAAATTTTCAGGAAATTCCAGACAAAAGTTGAACACTTGAAAACTTAATAAAGAAGTGTAGAAGAAGTGTTTGGCTCCTTAAGACAAATTCAGTCATTCCCTGGTGGAACTATTCTTCATTCTGAGCTCTAGAATACTAAGATTCTCCATTAGTTGTCTCCCATAAGTAATTGTATTCATGAATTAAAATGTGAACACACTGTGATCCAGTCACTCGATAATCCTTGGAACATCCAGTTTTATTTCAGGGTCAGACTGATCTGCTGCATAACATTTTTAGGGAACAGGATAAATCCATTTGATAAGTGGCAATTCCCATCTACTTCTGATATTACTTATGATCTGTACACAACTTTCTGCTTCATGCACTTGAGGACACTTAATTGTTTGTGAAGTTCTTCTGGTAAATGTACTGCAGGGCAGATTAACATTCATTCTTTTTTTCTTTCTAGTTACCGTGCTGACACTCAGACATACCAACCGTACAACAAAGACTGGATAAAGGAGAAGATCTACGTCCTCCTTCGCAGGCAGGCCCAGCAAGCAAGCAAATAATGGGGGCACCATCATCACATGGGTTTGGGGGAGGGCTTGGACAACAGGTGTGTACAGAGTGTAGTAGTGAACGTTTTGTATTATAGTCATCCTGTTGCCATCTTGATAAACTCTTTAGTCAGGACTGAATGTATTGCTAGAGATACAAGGATTTTGTTGGATTTGTCTTTTTTTTTTCAGTATAAATGGAGAAGAAAGTACAACATCTTCTGCGGAGATTTAATTTGGGTTTTTTTCCTCCAGTTAGCTAATGGTCCTACTTTATTTGAACCCTTGGGGCTGTTCACATTGTACTTCACCACATTTGCTGTATTTGCCCTTCTGTGGGCTTTCCAACATTCAGTTACATCCTTGAGATGGTCCTAATGGGAAATAAAACTACCCTTTGGTTAAATTTGAGTGCTGAATTTTATGGATTTTGTCGAAAAACACAAATCTTTTTTCCCTGTTATCTGAGGAATAGGGCTTGAAAGGTCATGTGGACTGAACCAACAGTTGTTTGCTGTATTACAGAACAGCCCAAATTCTGGCCTAGTCTTGGTACTGTCTTCCCTGGGGATCTTTGGGAAACACAGCAACCCTCTTGCACTCTATACTTGATCTTTATATGAGGCATTTGTATTCAAGTGTGTCTGCTCTGGGATAGGTGATGGATAAGAGCAGGCTGAATGTATCACATCACAGAATTAGTCTACTCACAACTTTCCCCTGATAAAGGGTAAGGATTTAACTGTTTACACACACTGAAAAATTGTATCTGCCCCTGTCTCTCTTGAACGCTAACGTCTTTGTAATTTTGCTGTACGGAACAGGTTTGGACTGAAGGACTCATTAGACCAAAAATTAGAGCAGGTAGAAAAGCAAGGCTGGATTGGTACTTTGTTCCTTTGTGTTAGTTCAGAGTTAGCCTGCTATAGGTACATATTTGAGTCACAGACTGTACATGTATACTCAACCAAGAGCAGTTCCAGGATTGACACAGGAATGCAATTCTCTCCAATGCACTTCACTTCCTAATACACATCAGTAGTTTCTGATGGATCTCACAGCAAATGCACTGGCTTAAAAGAATCTGAGGTCAAATTGACTGTCTATAATAAGCTTTCATGAAAATAGCTTCATTTAAGTGGTAAGTAATAGCTGCTGAAGGCTGGGAATTGAATTATTGAAGAGACACAAGTTCTTAGAAAGATACTCAGGAGAGGGTGTTAAACTTTTCTGTCAACACAAATACAGGTTGAAGATTAGACCTACTAGCTGTAGAATTATAGTGACCAGGAATAAATTCAATCTGCTAACATCAAAACATGCTTCCTTTATAATAGTGATTTTCAAAATCTAGTAAGTCAGAAGTATATTAATCCATCAATGGTTACTTAAATCTATAAATACTTTGGCATGGAAGTTTTATATCCAGCTTGACACAGTAAGTAATACTTAAAAGATTCACTAATGCCCCTCTAATAACAATCTGGTTTAATATAAGCAATGTTATTTAAACAGCTTGTATAGTTTATCCTCCTGGATAGCACATAGTAGAATAACGTGTCTTTCCTAGCATGTTCGAGGTTAACTTCATTTTTTTTTTTTTTTTTTTGGTAAAAATTCCAATATTCTCATGCTGGATTATTCAAGGTGCTAAATTTTGCAGTCTTTAAGCCAAATAAACATTCCTTGACAGTACCTATCACATTTAAAATAGTGATTTAATATTTTCCTCATTTTGTGAACTTGTTTTCAGTTCAAGGAAAAGCAGCAATTTGGGCTCTTTCCTTATTGTGAAATGTGCAAGGAGCATGCTGAATCCCTAGTAATCAGGAATTGGAACATAACATAGCTCTTCCTTCAAAGGTATTCTAAATTCGGTCTGATTAAAAAATATCTTCCTTGATTTTGGCTCTAGTATAGTAACTGCAAACTAAGACCAGTAAACAAGTATAAAATATGAATTTCTTGTGTTAGAGCAGAAAATAGGAAGAAGGAACTTCAAAGCAAGTGGTAATAAGCCTTTTTGCTTTTTGAAAGGGACTTTGTGAAGGTATGTTTTTTAGTCTTTTGAAAAGTAGAAGGTGGTAAGCAAACTTTAACTTCAAGGTTAATTCACTTAGTTTTTTTTTAGCAAAGTTCTGTGGTCATCTCTGTGAAACTGAAGTTTTCACAGAATTGGAAAATGCAAGTAAATGTTCCTTTTATACCTCTGGAGCCAGACTTGGCCTTCTGCTGATAAAAAAGTACAGTCTGTAGGCTACTTTAAGACAAGGCACTTGGGCATCACCTCTTTTCCCCCTTGTCACCCAGCTACAAGGCTTTTTTTCTTTTCTGAAATAAGCTACTAGTTAAAACTCTGTAGTACATAGTTCTTCAGCTGATGTTCTCCACAGTCCTTTAGAGTTGTGCTTTACTTGATAAACTATTCATGAAACAACGGGATTTGTTGCTTTACTGAGCAGCTGACCAAATACAGTGAAAGGAAGAAAAAAATGCTGCAGCATCTACCTGATGTGCAACTAGCTAGAAAGAAGAATCTGGAAAGTTGTCTCCAACTAATCACTGCCTTCAGAAATACAGTGAAGAGGCTTATGAACCCTTGGAAACTTATTACATGCCAGTAGGCTGGCACTCTAGTAAGGTAGTCTGCTCTAACAGGCCAGGTGAAAAATGACTCTCCAGTTTGCTTCTTGGCTCCTACTGAGTAAAGGATGACAGGAGGGCATTTACTACTTTTTGCAGTTTCACCTCTCCTCAGAGGCATCAGACAGCACTTTGATATTTGATATTGATCATTTTCCCAAGTTCAGCTGCTTTAAAAGTGAGGCTCAGCAGCAGCATTTTACAAGTAAAGCCATAAAAAATGGCATGATTACAGAAAGTATGTCAGAAAAGAATCTGCCATCCCATGCGTGCTTTGCCTGCAGCAAATGGTCTGGTGTTTCTTGCGTAAGGATAGGCACAAGTAGCAGTGCTGGTCATGCCTGCTACAGTGTGGGAGTAAATGATAAAGGAAATTATATTGGCTGTTTCTGTAGGAGAGTGGTATGGTATTGTAAAACAGGGATAAAGAATGGAATCCAGAGACCTAGTATTTCCAAGTGTGGAAATACTTCATATTAAAAGCAAGTTCATTAAGCAAGCCTAGCCTCAGGCCAAGGAGATGTATGAGCCCTCATCCATTTGCCAGGAGTGCAGAGGTGCTTGCCTGACTTCTGCTTGTCTTGTGAAGCCAGGAACCATGCTGCTTCTTTGCTTATCATGGAATAGAGAAGTCCTTCCACAGTCTCTGGACTGCCTGTTATGGATTTCAAGTTGATGCATGACTGGACCAGTACAACTAATTTCTTGGCATGGCTGTTCACTAAGTAGGGTGAAGTTCTGTGTGATGGCTGAGCTGATCTAGCAGTTCCCTGCTGTTGAAAGGCATAATGGTACTTCATACTATGTACAAAAGAGACACTGGGTGTTGTGGGGAAGGGGAGAACAGGACTGCCAATCAGCACTGACAAGCAGAGTAGCTGGTCACTTAAAAACCAAAAAACAACCTGAGATTTTGAGAACAAGCAAGCATGGTAGATTAATTGGTGGATATATATCAGGGACCAGTTTATCTACCACTGCATGCTTCTGCCAGTCAGTAATGCACTGGATCAGGGAGTAACCTCACTAAGATTAGAATCTGAATTCTGTTTGACACCACAATAATAACAGGATCTCTCTCTTACAGGAATCCCTTTCTGCAGCCTCTGTAGTCAGTATGCTGAAGGGGAATTGTGAAAAGCAAAAGTGAGTTAGTATTCCTGCTTTGATGGTGAAATAAGCTAGGTAGTTAAAATACTTGTCTACTGCTGTGCTGGTTTAAAGGTAAACCAGCAGGGGAAATGAACTCAACTCAAAGGAGAGATTATAAGTCAGAATAACAATTTAATAAAATAATACAATAAATACGATTATACAGACAAACAGTTGTTTTTAACCCACAAAACCCAAATGTATAACCCAGCACCCTGGGGCATGAACAGAGTGGTGTTTGTTGGGCCCCCTGAGTCCAAAGTAAAAGGAGAGGGGAAAACCTGCTGGTGAGAGCGCTGTTGCAGTCTGGTCAAGAGTGGTGGTTGCAGTCTGGTTGAGAGTGGTGGTCTGCAGTCTTCCTCTGGATCCCACGAGTGATTAAAAAAGTCCCAAGACTCCAAGATTATATATCCTCCAGTTCAGGCAGGAATGCCCAGTACCTCCTTCAGGGTGGGGAGTTCCACAACCGGTGTGAGGACAGGAGGCACCCTCCTATCTCGCAGGCCTCTTAACACCCAGTTTATAGCCTGAGGAGTCAGGCTGCTCTGGGCAGAGGGTGTAAATGGTCTATTGATAAGTTTCTGGGGAACGGCATGGAAGGCTATAGAATACACAGTTTTGGGTTACACCCATACAGTGATGAACTGGTCCCAGCTGTTCTAACTAGGACAACTGCTATTTCTATGATCATGTTCTTTTAAAATAGACCAAAATCTTGACATCCGTCACGATGCATCATAAGCAGGGCGGGAAAGTAGCAGCATCTCCATTGTTAGATCAGTTGGCTCTTGTGTTTAACACTGTTGTCATGTACAGGGGAGAAAAGCTAAGTAGTAGCAAGACCACCTTCTCGTCTTTGTTAGTAACTAATAAACCTGTTACAGCAAAAGGAGACTTGACTACCCACAGTATTTTTTAGGTTGAAAGAACCACTAGATTTTTCACTTGCATTAGAAAAGCATAAGAAAGTTGCAAATTTGCTGGTTGTAATCCCATTACAGTATGCCAAGCAATTTGTGCTAGTTTGTGATGTGCTGCTCCAGCTGCTTTGCTTTAGAGTATATAAACAGTTACATACATTTGCAATCCCCACTGAGTAAGGGCCTTATTGTACTAAAACTCAGCTACATTGAAAACTCAAACAATCCATCAAGAACGGTAATAAACAGTAAAATCGAGGGTAGCTGGGTTACAAGTACAGAGTAATTTCAAGCTCCTGCTTTTGACTGCTATGAAGCTCTTAAGTGTCTTCTAGACCCTGGTGAGCACTGAAACAAATTGCTTTACCATTATCATAAGTTGGGGGGGCGGGGAGTATTTGGGGGATCAGGTAGCATAATTTAGCAATTCTCCAGCATGAGACAGGCTATGGATGAGGCTGGAGATTCTCAGCATCTTTCTCAGGCTCACTGAGCATCTGAGCAACTTGCCTTAGGTACCCACTTGCCTCTGAAGTCCAGAAGTGTTGACTTCAGCATTTGCCTCAAGGTAAAATGATAAATAACTTGTACTAGCTATACATAAACTGCAAGAGTAAATCTGTTGAAATAGAAAATTTTTTTACACCTGTCATATTAGTCGATTCTCTCAAGTTTTCTACACTGAATGTATTGTCT